CAGAAACTGTTAAAGAAAACTACCAAAATAAGGTCAGTTAAATGAACCGTATTCCTCCGAACTTTAATTCCTAAAGGTTTGCTTTTTATGTTTTGATGTTGAATCCACTTTTGTGATGACAATTTTGGGTGTACTGTTTTTTTTTATGTTGGGGGTGTGGCTTATAGTCCGGTGCGGCTTGTATGTTAACGTTCGTGGGTTTTTTAAAAAAAAATGGCAGTTGGACTTATAGTCCAAAAAAAACGGTAATTTTACTTGAAGCACTGGTTATAACATCCACTTTATTTTGATGTTGAATATTTGAGAAATGGTTTTGTTGTTGAAACTGTTTTGCAATATAAACATTCTTTTGTACTTCTGTTATGTTCATTTGCACTACAGCAAAAATACTGGGGTTGATTAAGATTACAGTTTACTGAAAAATAAATGTTCTAAAAATTACATTGTCTTTGCTTTTTATGATAATTTTCTACCACAATATATATACTGTTACCACGAAGGGATTCAATTTATACCATGATATGAATTTGAGGTCATACCGCCCAGCCCTAGGTTATTACTAGCTTACCAAAGAGTGAGTTAGTTGATGCCACCAGCCTCGTTTAGCTGGGCTGTGATGGGTTGACTGGCTAAAGCCTTTTTTCTGCCTAAATCCCCCAGAATGCCTTGCGGTTCTCAATTGGAGTTCTGTGAAATTATCAACATTCTGACATATATTTATTTTAATTGAACAAGTTTGTTGCGATATTGTTTTATCGCCCAGGCAGCCCTAGCATCTGCACACAAAACATTTTTTAGGTCACAGTGTAATTTAATTTTACTTCTTACTAAATTTTACTTCTTTTCACAGGTGATGTATCCCCTATCAGCATGTCACCCATCAGTCAATCCCAATTTATCCCTCTGGGAGATGTTTTGCTATTGGCAATCTCTGCTATCAACTCTGCCCATAAACCAGTCACTCAGGAAGCCCTAATGGAACACCTGAAGACATGTTTTCCAGGTAAACCCAGCAACAATCAACACCGTTTGTCTTTTTGTGATTTAATTTGAAACTGTGTTATTAATTAAGGTAAACCCAGACCAAGACATGGGAATCTAAACAGAATTTCATTAGGGGGCAAACTTACACATAAGTCAGCACAGCACCAATAACATCCTAATGTTGATTAATGTTGATTATCGTGTGTGCATGGAGGATTTAACATTATTATTTTATGGTTTGCAAGTAATCCAACAACGAATTACCTAAATTCACTGTATGATAAAATAGGATTTGCTTAACAATTGGTAATAAAAGAAAAATGCACTAAAGCTTGAACACAGACCTGATGAATGTCCTGATGAATCTCAGTAATCCAGGTAAAAAATCAAAAGGAAAAAAATAGTATAGGTCTTCTGGACGGGTTCTTCTCTAATGAAACGTTTCGTCTCTCCTCCAAGAGACTTCTTCAGTCTGAGAGTTTCAGGCAAAATTCAGGCTTTTGAGTCCTGCCTCCAGGTGACTGACACTCACATCACATGGCTATCGTTCACACCTAATTAACACCTATTGTTAACAGGGGGTGGAGTGATACTGGCAATGGCAGCGCTGTAGGAGGGGGACAACCGAAAACGGAAGCCCCCACCTCTGTTTAATGATGGACGGTCTTTCTTCACAAAAATGGCTTCTTTTACTCCTCTCTCAAACCAACGTTCCTCTCTATCAAGAATGAGAACATCCTCATCTCTGAAAGAGTGACCGCTGGCCTGTAAATGAGTGAAAACTGCAGAGTTCTGGCCATTAGATGTAGCTCGTCCGTGTTGGGACATTCTTTTGAACAGTGGCTGCTTTGTTTCCCCGATGTATAACTGGTYGCAGTCCTCCTGGCACTTAACAGCATATACAACATTGCTCTGTTTGTGCCGGGGCACCGGATCTTTGGGGTGAACCAGCCTTTGCTGTAATGTGTTTTGGGGTTTGAAAGCCACTGGGACATCATGTTTAGAAAATAAACATCTCAGTTTCTCCGAAACACCCGCAACATACGGAATAACCACTGGTTTGGGTCTGGGTTTGGGGTCTTCATTTTCACCTGAAGGTTGCATGGAATCCTGTCTGTGTTTCCTGTCTGCTTTCAGGAAAGCCCAGTCAGGATAACCACACTGCTCCAGGGCCTGTCGTGTGTGTGATTTCTCTTTCTCCCTGGCTCCTGGGTTTGTAGGGACACTGTCTGCTCTGTGGTACAGAGTCCTGATCACTCCTAACTTGTGTTCCAGTGGGTGGTGGGAGTCAAAACGCAAATATTGGTCTGTGTGGGTGGGCTTACGATACACGCCAGTTTCCAACCGTCCTTCATCCGAAACCGAGACATCGCAATCCATGAACGCCAACCTGCCATTTTTTTACATCCTCTCGTGTGAACTTAATATATTCATCCACAGAGTTGATGTGATCAGTGAAATGTTGGACTTCCTGGGCTTTCATTTTAACTCAGGTGTCGTCAACATATCTGAACCAATGGCTTGGTGGCACCCCTGAAAAGGACATCAAGGCTCTCTTTTCCACTTCCTCCATGTACAGGTTTGCAACAATAGGAGAAACTGGGGATCCCATGGCACACCCATGTTTCTGCCTATAATATTGCCCCCCGTACGTGAAGTAGGTTGATTCCAGGCACAGTTTGAGGAGTTGGCACACTTGTTCTGTGGAATAAGTGTACAGACAATAATATTATCAAAAGTTAGCCTTAGTTCAGTTTGCATGTCAGTCTTAAGGTTGTGAAGCCAGTTGAAGGCCCTGAAAAAACATGAAAGGAACTGAAAGACAACTTTATTTAAAGCTAGGGCCGGGCAATATATCTGAAAAATGTATCACATTTTCATATAAATTTCATATCAGTCACTATAATTGATTAGTTTTTCATTTTACTCACTTTAAATTAGGACCAGGTGACAAAAGCCTGAATTCAAATATGTTTCTTTTAAAGGAGAAATCAAATCAAATTTCCAAAAACTGATATTGTGTGAATGTCATTTAGTAAAACGTTTGCATAAAACATTCTAGGCATCCTTTTTTCAAACCTATTGTTTAAATAACTTCTTTTTCACGTTTTTATCTCTAAATGCCAAAGTGCAGTGATTTTTGGGGTGGCGTTACTGTCCTAGGTGATAACATATTGTGCCACCACTACCTTACAAACAACAGTGAAGAACCTACTACCTGCTCACTGTTATCATTTAAAATGGAAGCAGAAGATTTTTTTGAGTTTGAATAAATGCTAGAACACTTTGTGGGAGTAAAGGATATACAACCATACCAGTATGAACCTGAACCAACAGCTGGATCTCAGAATTCAGATGACAATGCTTCAGATTCTGATGAGGAGGAGGATCATTCCCTACATGACAACAAGCCTAATAACGGAGTTGGGAACGTGGCATGATAAGAGCAGGTTACCCCCAGAACATTGTGATTTTTAATATACAGCAGGGCTATTCAACTAAACTGCTCCAGGGGCCACAGTTACTGCAGGTCAACAGCTCAGGGGCCCAACATCTATCAATTAAAGTTATTATGTAAATAAACCAAGTGTTACAAAGATCTGTTACCTTTGAGATAGTTTATTTTGCTGTGTTTAATCATGAGTACAACATACAGAACCCTATGTAATAAAAGTAGTGATGATAAAACAATATCAAAAACAATAACACTAACACATACTATTTTTACATCTCTGACTTGCCAAATTTTTAAACGAATTTTATTTTCACTTTCATAGTTTTATCTTCAACTGCTTGTAGTTTTAACTGTCTTGGATGTTCACAGAAATGTATTTACCAGGTTCTAGACAAGATTCTGATGTTTCTGTACATACCAAACATGTCTATGTCTAACTAAAATAACTTATTGGAGTTATAATGTAAAACTGGGGGGTTTGGGTTTAAGAAATGAGTGAACCATTTGGAGGGCCGAGCTTTGGATAGCCCTGTAGTAAACTATAGTGTGAAACACAGCAAAATGTTTTAGTTTTATTAAGTAGGCCCCTTTTGCTCAGATTACAGTTCTTTCAATCAGCTTCATGAGGTAATAATAGATATTTCGCCAATAGTTACTGCCTTACTTACCTTTGATTGTATTTCCATTCAGAATTTATTGCCTTTTAATCTAATTCATGTTTCTGTAGCATGTGTTCCTTCACTCAGGATGACTTCAGTATTTAATTACAATGAAGAGAATAAGAATAGGATCCTTGACAGGACAGGACGACATGAAATCATTGCATGAAAAGTGGGATGTTTGTCCCTGTTCAGACGTGTTCGGTGTGAACGGACATCTGTTGACAAGCAGCCAAAAACTGATGTCAGGAATTGTTGCTCAAGACGCGTTTGGTGGGAGCCCGGCTGATTGTGGGAACCCGGTTGATGGTGGGAACCCGGCTGATGGTGGGAACCCGGCTGATTGTGGGAACCCGGCTGATGGTGGACGTGCCTCTAGGGGTCTTGCGGCGCGTGAAGTCCATTTAGCGCGGCGCGCAAGGAAGCGGAAGGTCGTGGTAGAGCTTTTTCCGTGCACACGGTGCGTCCAAAGTAGCCGACGCTGGTGTTCAAAAACCTGAACTTTTGCTGCTCAGCGCACCGCGTCAGCCAATCAGAGAGACTCATTTTTCCACGTGATGGTTTCCTGAATGTTGCCCACAAACAGATGGACAGGAGCTCTTTATAGCTGAAATTGACCGTCTGCAGTTTGTTTTCTGGCAGGAGATATCAGCACCGATTGTGGGTCAGCAACTCGTTCAACAGATGGTTGAAATATGATTAGATAGCTTTATATAAATACTGTGTAGGGATCACCTACTGGAAGCTGTGCAGCCAGGAGAAAAGGTATAAAATGAAGAGGACAGATATAATA